AAATGCATACAAAATGCAACGAAATTTCATCATCCCCGAAGCCAGCAGCTTATCCTAACTCCAAGAGTGGTGCCCTTGGGGAAATCCCTGCCTTTTGGAGCCTCAGTTTCCCTCTCTCTAAAATGGATGTGACGCCTCCACGTGCCGCTGTGTCACGTGAGTGCACGGAGGTGAACGGGCTCGTAAGCCCAAGGCCTCCACAAATCCCAGTGATTTTTTGTTGTTGTCAACAGTTGCATTCTTTCTCTCTGAGAAGGAGGATATATTTTTGCCAGTGGCCTGCCATGTTTGAAGCTCTTCCTGAGAATAGCAGGGAAGGGCTTGCTTCATTCTTAAGCAAAAAGAATTTAAAAAGAAAAAAGAAAAAATAGGGCAGTCAGATGATATATTTTGTTTTTCTGATCCCCAGTGAGCCAGAGGCCAAGCACAGCACACGTCGCCTCTGAAAAGAGGAGGATGGACCAGCCTAAGAAGGTAAGTGGGTCCTGGGAGGGATGCCAGAGGCGCAGGCGCAGTTTAGAAGGACGGGGAAAAGGGCAAAAGGCCCCAGTGAGAAGGGAAGCCGGGTTGCAGGGCTGGGAAAAGCCAGGGGCACATGGCAGAGTTTAATCTTGATTGATGGCACTCAGGAGGAATAAAAGATGGCGCAGTAGAAGCTGGGCCGGGCAGCTGAGTGACTCTGGAATTGGAAGGCACAGTGAGTGAGGTTTTGGATAGAGTCTAGCAGTGTCCCTGGTTCAAGCACTGATTGGTCCCCAACCATGTCCACAGCTGTGTGAAACTGGGTAGGGCCAGGCAAGCCAGCTCAGGTTCTGCCCCAGTGGGACAGGCAGGCACAGAGACAGAGACACAAAACAACGTGCGGTCAAGTTTGGAGGCTGGAAATGAGCTCTCGTGGGTGGGATGAGGGCAGATTCCTGCGGTTTCTGGGCTAAGACGAACCTACAGGTAGCTGCAAATCTGAGATGCGTCCAGGTGCTCCCTGCTGACAGCCTCCTGTCTCCTGCAGAATCCAGGTGGGCATTTTTTACCTGCTCCCAATGCAGAGTCTGTCTGTGAGCATCTGCCAATGCTTTTCAAGTCCTATGATTGAAGGATGGAGAGCTGGGCTGTGCAGTGTGTGGTCTGGAGGGAGCCTGGCACCCTCTCTCCAGCTGCAGGGTGGGGTGTAGGGCTTAGAGGGAAGCCAAGAGATGGCTCTGCTGGGGATGGTAGGGCTGTGGTGTCAGCAGCTCTTGGCAGGGATGTTTGGACAGCTTAGTCCTGTTTGAGCCTTTTGCCCATTTCCATTAGAAACAGGGACTTCAAGTCTACTTTGGCGTGTGAAGTTCATGCCAATGCACCCTGGCACTTCTTCTCATCTCCTGGCACAAACTTGGCCTGTTTTGTATCCAGACAGGCACATGTGAGGTCTTGTTTCCTTTGGTGTGAAACTGGGGGCACATGTGAGCAGAGGGGAGATCAGAGTCTAGGCTGTTCCTGTCCCGGCATCTCAGGACTGAAAGCAAAGTGAATCTCGCTAGCTAGCAAAGCAGGGGGTTTCAGAGGCATGTAGCCCGGGAGCCAGTCCCAGCTCCACCACGCTGTGTGACCCTCAGCCTGTGACTTCCCTCTCCTGTGCCCTAGTCTCCTCACCCCTAAACTTGCGGGTACCTCAGAATCTACCTCATGGGCTTCTGGGAAAGATTCGTTGAGTTGGCACCTGCAAAGCAAAGGTCCTGGCATGTGCTTTACACTGAACGGGCATGCTGGATGTTTAATGTTTACACAAGCTTCGAGTGTTTACAACACTGCTATTCTGCATCCCGGCACAAAGTGCTTTACCGGGATTGGCTCAGTTCACTCTCCCTGCACACCTGACAGATGGGGAAACTGAGACTTAGAGAGGTAAAGGAGCAAGCCAAAAGCCACACAGCTAGTAAATGGCAGAGGTGTGATGTCAATCTGGTGTGTCAAGCTGTGGCTGCGGCCCTGCCCCCGTGTCATCCACCCAGAGGAGTGGCCATCATCACCCGCCTTCTCCTCTGATCTGTGTTCACTCTGCTTCCTGGCTCCCAAGATGTGTTCCAGGGGATTTTCCTGAGTCACTGGGTCATTGAAGGGAAGACAGACACCCAGCTGGATGCCCCCACCCCTACTCCTGGCCCACTTGACATGCACACACAGGCACACACCCAGAAGCACACAGGTGAACTCATGCACACACAAATGCACACGCACATGCTCGCACATAGGTTGCACATACATATATAACTACGCACATGTACACACACGTATACACTCTAACAAACGCAGAATCATGCACATTCACACATGTACACACTTACCCCTGCGTAAGTATGGTGCATACTCAGAATACCTCCTGGAGGATCCCAGGTCAGCCAAGCAAGCCCTACCTCTCTCTCTTTTGGTCTGGCTGACCCCATGGTCCTCTTCCCTCAGACTCTGTGTGTGACCTCATCACAGTGGCCCTCCATAGCACATGGCAGTGCAGACAGGTAGCCGGAGAACCTCCTTAACCACTGGAAAAAAGAATGGGCAACTCCCATGCACGGTCACTTACCGCATCCCTGTGCTCAAATCCTCATTTATTTAACAACTCCCATTGTGCAGAGCAGAAAACCGAGAGGTCGTGTGGTAAGAAGTCCGCCCAAGGCTCACACAGCTGGCAAGGGAAGAAACAGGACTGAGACCCAGGTGTGTGGGACTCAGGCACTGAGCCAGGCCCCAGATCTCCGGTGCACAAGACAGACCTGGATCCTGCCCTCGGGAGGGAGCACCCAGGATTCTGGGGGTGGGGAAGGGGCAGACAGGAGCAGTGGACAGAAAAAAATCAATAAAATCAATGGCACACTCCTGTGCAGGGGAGCTGGGATGGGGAAGTGCGGCACAGCACCCGCTCTAGAGAAGAAAGGGAGGCCTGAGGGTGACACTGGGGCCGCGGCCACAAAGATGAGCCCGAAACGCATTTGAAGCAGCGGTAAGGACAGCACCTGTGCAGCCCTGGGGAACCCACATTTAACTCATCAGCAGACCTGATGTCCCAGGCCGGGCAGTGTCTAACCAGCAGCCTCTTGGTCTGTGTGGGACCTGACAGTCTCTCTAACTCTGCAAGGATGCAATTCAACAGGCATTGCCCTTTGAACTTTTCCTAATCAGCCCCCCTCCTCTGTCCAGGTATTAAAAATGCCAGGCGCCAAGAAGCCCCCTGCCCCACCCCCAACATTCCTTCGGGACAGTTTTGCTGACATAGCATTCCTCTGGGCCAGGCTGACGGCCCAAAGTCCCTCATCTCTGGCAATGAAGATTTCCTGTTAACCCTTGGACCTTGAGCCCTGGAATATCCCCCAGGGATTCCAGAGAGCGGCGCTGCGCTGCGGCCTTCTTCTTGCGTTTATTTATAACGCATAGCCCTCTTCCTTGCCAAGAGGAAGCGCGGTTTTACTTACATTTCAGCGTCCCAGTGGGTGGAGGGGACCACCGGGCACCTTTGTCCCCAGGCTCAGAATGGTGTGAGGAAGCTGTAAACTGCCCAGAAGTCAGAAACTCGTAGAATTTTGAAGCTGGAAGGGGTGCCATTTCACAGATGGGAAATGAGAGGTCTGGTGATGCCTGGACTGGACCAGGGCCTGAGCCAGATCATGTGGGAGGACTCAGGGATCCTGGCCTTGCCCTGCAATGGACAGTCTCCATCAGCAGACTGGTGACATGGACCAGACATTTGCCTCGCACAGCTACTCACCCCGGTGGTCAAGAGCAGGGCCTGGAGCCCGACGACAGTCAATGCCACTTCTTTGCTGTCTGTGAAACGAGGCTGGTCACCACACTTAACCTATAGTTACTGGGAGGAGCAATTGAGTGACGTATATGAAGCATTTACAACAGCCTGCCTATTAAATAAATACAACGTATCTCTACACATGTACAACAAAGACACGGAAACAGTTAATCCCCTGCTGCAGCTCCCGTTGAAGAGAATGAAATCAGGGCCCAGAGAGGTTGAGTCACTGGACTTGGGACACACAGGACCTTTTCTACCTCTGCTGGTGACCCAGTGACCCCTGGCAGTGGTGGGGAGGGGGCAGAGCAGGCCCCGGACTGTCTGCTGGATGCTGCATTCACTAGTGGGTCCAAGGAGACTGGGACGACTCCTCTTCGCTCTCTCCAAAATTAGAACATGGGGCCCTGAATGGTGTCCCCAACCCAGGCCTGTTAGGGACTGAAAAGGGCTTTCTCGCTTGGTTCGCCCTTTAGAGAGGGCCGGACCACCCTGAGCGAACCCCGCAGGGTGCCTGCATCTGGACTGGGGCTGCCCTTATCGCGGCCCTGGGGCGGGGGGGGGGGACCGGGGGGGTAGGGGGGGGTTCCTCCGTCTCCAAGGGCGCCCGCAGCGTCCTTACCTGGCTCCTCCTGCGTCCTGCTTGACCTTTACTTAAAGACCAGCTCTAGCTGCTGATGGGTTTCGGCGGGTCCCCCAGGAGACCCTTCAGACGGCTCGAGCCTGGCGCGCTGGAGAGAGCCCCTAATTGGGGCAATGAATCATCGCGCGCCGCTCCGGCTGGACACAAAATAGATAGAGGAGCCGGCCGCTATTGTGCGCAGTTTGGGACGCGGGGGGAGGCGGCGGCGGGCGGGAGGGAGGCGGGGAGGAGGAGGGCGGGGGAGGGAGCGCGCGGGGAGGGATTCCCCCGCCCGCCGCGCGCCCGCCCTCCGCCCCTCCCCGCCCCTCCCGCCCGCCGCCGCCCCGCCCCCTCCTCCCCAATTAAATGACCCCACGCCTTGGCAGGCGCCGGAGCTCGCACATGCGGCTGCCGCTCCAGCCGCCTGGGCCCCTCCGCCGCCGCCGCCGCGTTCAGGGCGCGCTCGCCGCGGCGCCGCCTCGGCCCGCGCCGCCGCCGGGGGCTCGGCAGGCCCCGGGGGGCGCCGCTGCGAGCGGCCGTGCACCCGCGCCCGCGCCGGCCGCCCGCCGCCAAACTTTGCGGCGCGCACACATGCTCCAAGTTGGGCGCGGCGGCGGCGGTGCGGGCGGGCGCTGAGGGCGGCCCGGGGCGCGCGGGGGCCCGGGCGGGCGGCGCGGCGCGGCCATGAGCGGGCGGCCGGCCCCGGTCTCCCGCAAGCAGCGGCTCATGGCAGCCGTGGGCGAGCGGGCGGCGGGCGGCGCGCCACTCTCCTGCTTCATCTGCGGCGGCGGCATCGGGCGCGGCAAGGAGCTGAAGCTGCAGGTGAAGCAGCCGGCGGCGGGCGCGGGGGCCCCGGCGCAGCCCTTCTTCCCGTTCCTGCAGCAGCAGGAGCCGGCGCCCGGCGCGCGCGAGCTGTCCCCGGCGGACGGCTGCGTGCTGGTGTGTGCCGTGTGCCGCTGCTTCCTGGGCGAGCAGTGGGCCGCCTTCGAGCGCGCCCGCACGCCCGTGGACAAGCGCATGTACTGGCTCAAGCGGCCCCACCAGTGCGACGCGGGCGCGGGCGGCCGCCGCGGTGGCGCCGGGGCCCCCCGCGAGTGGAACGTCGCCTACGCGCTGGGCAGCGCCGCGGGTGACGACGACGACGACGGTGACGGCCCCCGGCTCCGCGGGGCAGCCGAGGGGACGCGAGACTCCGACCTGTCGGAGCTGTCGGACACCGACCCCCTTTCCGAGTCCGACCCGCCCGCTCGCGACGCCTCCAGCCCCCCCCAGGACAGGGCGCCAGCGCCGCGGGGCCCCCCGGGGCCAGGGCCTCGCGGGGGGCGCGGCCAGGAGTGGAGGCCGGCTCCGGGACCCCCTCCGGGACCGGGCGCAGAGGCCCCGGTGCAGGGGCGCGCGGAGGAGGAGGGGCTCCCTACGAAGGTCCACGCGGATGGGGAGCCCAAGGCCGGGGTTAGGCGCCGGCGGAAGGGGGTTGGGAGGCACTGGGTTCCCGAGGCCCGGGCCAGCGTCCTGAGGGGCATTCAGGATCCTTGGCAGGGCCCTCCTGTCCAAGAGCCCCCTGCAGACGGTATGAAAGGGCCCCCCTCCGGCAGGGCCACCAAGCCCCTGGAGAGCAGGCCTCTGGGGGACACCCATCGGGGCTTCTGCACGTCCGAGGACAGTGACATCAACATCACCAGTGGGGAAGAGGATCACAAGGAGTCGCCTTTCCCAGGCTCCTGCAACCCCAAAGAGAAGGAGAACAGTGGCCGCGGCCCCCGGGCCCTCCCGGACAGCCGGGTGGCACCGCCAGAGGGCCTTTGCTGCTACATCTGCGGGTCTCCACTGTCCCCGGCCTCGCACCACCAGGTCCACGTGCAGAAGCAGGAGAAGCTGGCGCAGGCCCCGTTCTTCCCCTTCCTGTGGCTGCACAGCCCGCCCCCGGGGGCACAGCCCATCAGCGAGGGCGGCAGCACCCTCGTGTGCGCCAGCTGCTTCTCTTCCCTCACGCAGCAGTGGCAGAGCTTCGAGCTGGCCAACGTGCCAGTCCTGCAGCGACTCTACGTGGTGCCCCTGGACAGCCACGCCCCCGGCATGGCCTCCAAGGGCAGGAGACTCCCCAGGGAAGAGGGCCTGCCCCCTGGGGCCCTGCGAGAGGCCTGCTACCTCTGCGGGGAGGACTGTACCCCGGATGCCCGGGCGGTGCCCTCCAGGATCCTCAACGGCAACGCTAGGAGCGCCATGCATTTCCCTTTCCTCAGCCTCCTGCCCTGCCCGCCCAACGCCCAGGGCCCCAACAAGCGCTGCGAGGTCCGCAGCTGCCCCAAGTGCTTCAGCGTCCTGGAGGACGTCTGGGCTCTGTACCGGGCCTGCCAGAGGGAGGAGCTCATCACCTCCGTGCAGGGCTTCCTGGGCAGGTACCACCAGGCCTTCTCCGCCTCCGACCCTGCCCTCTCCGAGCTGCCCGCATCAGCCCAGGGCGGCCCTGTGTCCATCTGCTACATCTGTGGGGCTGAGCTGGGCCCCGGGAAGGAGTTCCAGCTCAACGTGAACCCCGCCAGCCGCTTGGGCGAGAAGGAGCCCTTCTTCCCCTTCCTCACCGTGTATCCACCCGCCCCTCGTGCCAGGCCTGTGGACTCCACCGGGCTGGTGGCCACCTGTGTGCTCTGCTACCATGACCTGCTGGCCCAGTGGCTGCAGCACGAGGCCCGCAGTGCCCATCACGCTGTCAGCGCCTGGTCCCGGCAGTACCACGTGGAGACATTCGTGTGCTTCTTTTGCCAGCAGGAGAAGAAACGGTGTCTGGGGCTGAAGTCTGTGCGGGTGGCTCGGCTGCCCCTGTTCCTATACACCCTTCGAGCAAGCCACAGCCTGCTGGTGGATGATGGACAGCAACTGATCATCGGCGCTTGCGTGGAGTGTGGGACCCTGGTGTGTGCGGGCCAAGGGCTCACCCGCCAGGGACCCATGAACTGGAGCTCCCCAGTGGCAGCAGCATCGAAGGTAAGCAGCAGTTTTAATCTCCAAAATCCATGCAGAGAAGGGAGAGATGTTTTCTGTTCCTCAGAAAAACTCGGAAGGAGGAGTTTTCACTGGTTCTGTGAGGCGTGTTCTGGGGGGGTACCCTCCCTGAGTCACTGGGCTGGTACTTGGTGGGTACGTTGGCTTGGCTGACCTTGGAGGCATGGGTCAGCGGTCAGAGCAGTGCCGGTCAGGAGTGGTCTCAGGGAAGAATAGGGCACTGCTGAGAACAGCAGGCACGGGCCTGAACTTGGGTGTGTGTGCAGTGGGATCTGTCACACAGAGGAAGTTCGGGGCATGTCTGTCATCCGCCTGATAACATTGGTAATTAGTCCAGCCGTGCGGGTCACAGAGAGGTCTGCGCTCACCCGGTTTGAAACACATCAGAGGTGGAAGTTTCTCTCCATTCTTGCTCCCGTGCGGCTTTTCCAGAGTTTTCCACCCAAATTCCCACTGTTACTTTGAGACTCTGCTTGCTTTACGGCTGAGGGAAACAGGGTTCCAGACATGGGGGTGTGGAATTCGAGGGACAGTGGCCTAAACAGACTTCATCCAGCGGGGAGAGTGTCTTTCTTCTCTGCAAGTCAGCTGTGCAGGAGGCTGACGGGAGGCCTGGTGTTCTCTCTGTTTATAAGGCGCCTGCCTTCCCGCTGCCCGCCGGCGAGGAGCCAGGTGGGGCTCAGTTAATTTGGGATCTGGCTTTGCAAGGGCCCAAGCAGGAACTGCCCCCGGTGCGTCTGGGGAGATAGATGTACGCGTCTGTGAGTGGCGGTCACCAACCTGGCTACTGGGGCATGGGTCGTCATTTCTGCCAAAGGAAGTCAGTGCTGCTTGCTTTAATCAAATGCCTGTAGCGGCAGCTGCTGGCCAAGGGCGGGCAGAGGGACTTATGGATGGGAAAGTTGGCGCTGTCCTGTTCAAAAGGGTCATTCCACCCCTTGAAAGCTTCCTGATCCTGCCTTCCACCTGCATGTGTGGGGGCACGTAGGTGGGATATCCGGGGGACATGTTCACTCACAGTGGCTGCATCTGGCAAGTGGGCTCTGCTAACGCTTGGCCCATCCTCCCCCAGTACACAGCCCCCGCCTTCACGCTCTGCTCAGATCTCCGTTTCTACCGATGACAGCTCTGGACTTTCAAGCTGTCTCTGTGGCTTTGGTGGGATGGCCTCTCACTTTAATTGCGCGAGTGCACCGTCTCCCGTCACGATGCTGCAGCTCTCCTCTGCGGCGTGTAGCGGCGCAGCCGAGGGGAAGCAGAAGGGCTGCAGTTCCTGAAAAGGCGGAAACTGGCAGAAGAGACCAAGTTTAGGAGCAAGACTGGCCCCAGTTTGTTTGCTACTTACTGTGGCGCTGCAAAGCCTTCTCATCTCATTT